TTTGCGCCCTGTTTTTGAAGATCGCATTATCAGCCGCAGAGCTGATGTCGTTTGGCCACCTCGGAGCTGCGATTTGACACCGTTGGACTATTATTTGTGGGGTGCCGTCAAAGATAAGTGTTACGCCGACAAGCCAGAGACAATTGACGCTTTAAAGGACAATATTCGTGAAGCCATTGGTGAAATACAGCTGCACACAATCGATAATGTGCTTAAAAATTGGACCGATCGTGTAGGCTACTGCATGGCCAGCCGAGGCAGCCATTTGAATGAAATTATTTTTCATTATTAACCGGAAGGATTGTACTTTCAAATAAAAAAAGAAATTTGAGAAAATATTCAGTAGTTTTTTTTTTAATTTCATTTAAAAAAAAAAAAGTAATTTGGCGGACCCGTTATAAATCATTTATAATAAAATTAGTGATTGAGATGGTAAGGTCATTAATCAGTTTTTTTTAATGTGCTAGACAACCACACCAACTGCCTGGTCTCAAACTAGGGAATACCCTGTATTAGAGTAATGGAATTCACTCCGGGATATTACCGAAACCACTCATAGCAGAATCAATTAAAAAAAGTTAATTTCCAATATTGGTCCCATCGGCAATCGACCCCGGGACCTCCTCATCCAGCGCCCACAGTGCAAACCGTTGGGCCACCGAGGTCATCTAATATTAATGCCAATTAACCATCAATTAGCAATTTACCATCTTATAATAACCGTGACCATGGGACCTGTAAAGGGCCCGAAACATTGGTTTCTTACATCCAATATAATAGTTACATTTTATCGGATCTAAATCGTGTCACGATGATGATTTTCGTAATTTAAAGCTTGCCAAGCGATGCCTTGCTTGGCAAGCGTGACTTGTTATTATTAAAAAAAGTAGAAATTATCTAAAAATCACATCCTTTGTACTTGCAATGCAATTGTTACCAAGAACTATAAAATAATTCAGAATATGACTTCAAATAAAAGTCTTCTGATAAACTCTGTTACGGATCATGTGGTAAAGAGATAGTCAGTTTGGTAATTTATTGTTTATCGGGTTTAATGTTTAATAAAATGATAGTGTTAAACGAATCATATCAATAAACGACGTAAGTTGCGCTTACGCATAATGTTCGGACTTTCTTGCCACATTAATTTTGGACGATTCATCGGTCACTAAGCTCATGAGGAAGTCCCGGAGTAGATTGATTTCAGAGCCAAAAGTCAAAGTAAAAAAATATTTATTTCATAGGCAAGCAAATTACACTTCAAATCGTATTGAAGTCATATTAATTAAACTCTACTGCTTATTCGTACGGCAGATTCCCCCAGAAGAATGAGCAAGAAACTATTAAGAATTGCTCTTTGTAAACAAACATTTGTGCATTTATCATTTACAATATTTATTGCAAACAACGTAGATCGAGACTACCTGCAAGAACTAAACGGGTCATTACCACGGATTTTTGACATCCAAGTGTCACGCGGGCCTCGCGTAGTTAAATACAAGGCTCGGTGTACATGAATTTTATTGTAGAAATAAAGAAAGAGTACAGGAAGGGAAATGAACAGGTAAAGGCGCAAAGGTTGTAACAAAACATAATTAACCTTTAGTACATTGACATAATTGTAAGTCAATGCTTAAGTATCAAATTTTTGTTTGGCTATAGTTTTAAGCCTCGTACTAAAGGTAGCTAGCTTATCGATGGTCTAGCGGTTAGCACTCCGAGCGATTGATGTAAAAGTTTCGAATTCGATTCCAGGACTAATTTAGGGAAGTGCAGACTCGTATCCAGCAGTATGACGTATACTGTTGCGTGCTTTCTGGGTACAAAGGTAATCTTCAACCTTGACACTCATTCCATTATTGGTGACCACCATTAATATTATGCGTAATTCCACTTCCTTACAATACGGTAAACCGCAAAGAAAAGGTAAATTAATTTTCTTTTTGAAATGATTTACCGGTTTGTGGAAAATACAAAGTCAAAGCCAAGAAAAAGAAAAGAAAACCGCAGTCATTTATAGATGCGTTCAAGGTTCACTTTTTCATGTTGAAAATATTTATACAAACACTAATTTAAATTTTGGGGTAGTAAGTCTTTTCGAGTTATTAGGTTTTCGCGATTGTTACATTGTAAATGAAACTATTTGATCTAAACCACGCATATTTGTCTTCAAACACTCGTGAATTTATTGGCACATAGGACTTTTCAACTTATGTTTCAGGGTGACGGGCCCAGAGGCGGTGCCTCTCAGATCTTTGTGATTTATAGCTATGAATGGCACTGCATCTGTTATGAACAGGCGTATCGCTTACCATCAGGCGCACGACTTGTTCCGCCACTTGGTTGCTTAAAAAAAAATTAAATTAGCCCGTTTTCTAGTGTGTTTCAAAGGTTATATAGAAATATCGATGTCGATACGATTTGTGCACATAGACAATAAAACTATTTTTTTATAATACCGAATATAGGATGTTTTTTAAATAAACCAACGTTTCGGGATCTTTACGGGTCCCATGGTCACCACTAACTGAAAAAGCTTCACTCTTGATTTTTCGAATTTAAAGCTTAAATAAATTAGTTTTAAATTCGAAAAAAATTGATGCATTTGCGGTCTCATAAATGTATTAACCTACATTACTAGATATTTTTCTGTTTTCTATGAATATAAAAACTACTACAAAAAATCCATAGGAAATTCAACCCAATGTACTACAAGTTTACCTGTTTTCCATATAAATAGGAAAACAAAACGGGTTTTAAACAATTTCCGAAGTTTTTTGATCCAAAATAATGTCTCAATTATACTATTTTTTTTGTGAGTATGTTATGCGATTACTCCATCATTTGTGAACCGATTTCGTTGATTCTTTTTTTGTTGGAAAGGGAGCACCTCAATAGTGGTCCCATTTAAATTTGAAGAAAACATTCCACCTCTAAAGGTGTCGAATTGGCGGATTGATACGGTTTTTTTTATTCTACCCATTTTCTGCTAACCGATTCCAATAAACCTTGGCAAATAGATTCTGTTGTCTATATATGTATATAAACTTTTAAAAGTTTTAGAACCAGTTTCAGCTCAAAATACAGGCACTGTATAACATGTGACCTAAACATGTTCACGTGCCACTGCGGTATGTATAGATCTCTTCCATGCTACTAGGAACAAATTTGAAATAATTTTTTAAGTATTTTTTTATGGACAAGATTTCAATACGTACAGTCCAGTAAATAATCAGTAATCATATTTTAGAGTCTTTCATATAAAATAAAAACCTAATCAGTCAAAAAACAACAGATTTTAAGACTTTTGTAATTACTTTGTAGACAGATACTAAAAAACACTCAATTTAATTAATTTACTCGTAATTATATTAATTAATTTACTGATGACGTTCTGCGTGGCCTAGCTGTTTGTACTGTGGGCGCTAGGTGCGGAGGTCCCGGGTTCGTTTCCCGGTAGGGCCAATTTGGGAAATAAACTTTTCTAAATTGATTCTGGTCTAAGTGTTCTGGTAAGTACCCCAGAGTGAATTCCATTGCTCTGGTACTCATATAACAGGGAATCCCCTAGTTTGAAACCAAGTACTTGGTGTCTTTGTCTGGCACATTATTAATATAATTGTAATCAGAGACAAATTTAGTTACGTTGTAATTATACTATAATAATCATTAATCGTAAGAAGTAGACAACCACAAATTACACCCAAACTCACGGGAGAAATAAATGTAGGCCATACAACTATTTATCCAGGCCGGGAAACGAACCTGGGACCTCTGCGTGGCAGTCCGGCATGGTAACCGTTCAGCAGTTAAATAGTGTTTACCTTTTTGCTTATGCAAATGCCATCAGTATATTTTGCTACAATATTCTGCTACATATACAAATAACTTTGTAATGCCTAATAAACTAAAATAGAAAAACGTCTCAAGTTGAATGGTAGCAACAAACAGTAGAACAATATCTGCCACTTTAATAATCAGAAACACAAACGCGCAAAAAATAATTGATTTTGATTTATAAGAGAGCATGATGAAATCATTTTCATACAATTATACCTGTACAGTCACGTAGCGAAATTAAAACTTTATTTGTCAATGAAACTATTAAAAAATATTTATTATTATACTGGTCAGTATCGTAATTGACATTTTTAACGAAATTGAGTTACTAACCTATCCACAAAACATGGACGATGTGGTCCATGTTTTGTGGATACGGCAAAAGCGCCATTTTGAAAAATTTTTCAGAGGAGCATGTTTTAGTTTTTCACTACCGTTTTAAAATATTTACGTCCCGTTTTAAATTGAATATTAAAACCTTAACTTAATTAAAAGCAAAATTGAATAACACGTTAAATGTAAATACTTTAACAGTCGTTAAATCCTAAAATATGCTCCCTTGGAAAATTTTTCAAAATGGCGCCTTTCGCCCTTTCTTTCATTTCGCCTCAACTAAAGGTCGCCACGGCATGCGAATGTGGACACGACAAAAAAATAGATAAGTTCATACAATGAAAAAAAAAACAAATAACTCAAAATAGATCATAACTTAAATAATATAAATAGTGTAGCTATATTAATTAAATATTATTATTAAAAAAGTAACGTTTAAAAGCAAAATAACCTAATTTAAAATGCTTTAAATATATAATTATATAAATTAAAAATATAAAGAAAAAAATTATGTGAAACTACATTGACGCAGACGTGAGAGTAAACTTGACTGTGCGCTAAAATCGCAAAGGACTAATCGAAAAAATGTCGACGAGACCACCACCCCGGTATTCAAAATAGTTAATGTCGAAATAATAACTATATAAGTATTGTTAATTTCTCCCGATAAACTATAAAAATATTTTTTTTTATTTCAGTTTTCTTTCAATTTAATTATACAGTTTACATACTAATGAGTTCAACATTGTAAAACGATACGTATCACTGTTCATCAATAAACTTTCTCGAATTTTGCAAATTGACAAATATTAAAAAAAAATACATACAGCAAAACATGCCCATATAGAAGCCGGCGACAGCAATCGCCAGCTTGACGAAATCGTTGGTCGCTTCCAAATCGAATTTCTTAAGCAAATCACTCATGATGTATTTCTTCATAGGTCCACTACCACACTGACTGTCCACCATTTTTTCCGACCAGTTTATCGAAAAGCAACCGAATGCACCGATAACCCCTACTGATACGTACCCCACACTAGCATGCACATTAAAAAAAATATTTAAAAAATAAAATGTAATAGAGACGCGTTACGCGCGCGAGGTTTCGCATAAGAATGATAGATGCACAACTGGAAAGCATGGAATATGTACTTACGACTTGTATGACCCTATATTGGCTCTAATAACACCGTAAGATAACGCCCAGTCCGGATTCTTAATTTTTTTTTAATAGAAACATCCGGGAATAAATAATAATACAAACAGTACGCTACTTACTTCATTTAATGCCATAGACAATAATTAATACAAACAACGTGTGCACATTTATTAAGAAGTCTAACTATGTGAACATTGTTACTTCATCATCAACCCTTTTATGCGTCGCACTGCTGGACACGGGTCTGCTCTCAAGCAGACTTCACACGTTTTCCGAGGGTTGTGAACCTTGCAGATTTCATCACGAAGCATATGGAAAATTTCACACTGAATTTCGCACATAAATTCCGAAAAACTTATGAGAGGCGAGCCCGGGTTCGAATCCACGGCATCTGCTTGAGGGACCGATAGGTCACACCATTAGGCTACCACGGCTTTTTAATTTTAATCATGTTACTTATCTACAGGAAATAAAAATTTTTTTTAAGATCTAAAACGCGTTCATATCGCATGATCATGGCTGATTGACTACGGGACCTGTAAAGGGCCCGAAACGTTGGTTTGTTGGAAGAAATAAATGTATAGGTTTTAGATCCGAAAAAACATCATTTCCTATGTGTAACAAACGCGAAAACCTAAGATTACTTATCTATGTCATAAAAACAATTTCAAAATCAGAAACAAAAAATATTGCTAAAAGGCGCTTTGACAATGAAAGATATTATCGTGATATTTAGGCGTAAATTTATTGTGAGAACAAAATAATCGCATAGATAACTTAATACGAAATCATATTATATGCTACAAAATAAATAATCAGAAAAAGCAGACGGCGATAAAAGCCGTTTACAGACAAACATAAAGAAATTCGTAAGATCTGCTGAATTTGAGTCTCAGTTGGTTAAGAGTCTATACAACCTCATATGGCTTTGGTTCATTCTGCATAACAGTGAAAGTGAAGAAATCAATCACTTTGGAAAAATATATAGTAAAATTGAATAAAATTGAGGATATACACTTATACTATATACTATATATTATACGGTGTGAAAACACGATTCCTAAAAATTTTCACGTTGGAAAAAACACAAACAAACACAATAGTAATAACAACGTAATGGAGTATTTTCACAAGAAATACATAAAAAACATGGTATTTCGTCATGATATTCAATAAATAAATATTGCAATCATTAAATAAAAATTACATGAAATACAATACAAATTTAGAATACTACTTCGAAAAGGGTCCACTGAAAACCACTGTGGCTCCACCGTAGTATTTGCTGAGTTGGGCCCTTTTAAGTGCATTGCACTTTAAGTATAAACTCATAATATTGTGCTTATAACATGTGTTTGTGCTGAATAAATTTATTTTCTTTCTTTCTTTCTTACAATGTTTTGCGTAAGTGATATTCAGCGAGAGAGGCAAACAAATATGACAAATCAGTCCACAGTTTTGCTACAGAGGAATACTGACATATGAGGTCGTGAATATTTTAAAAAAGGAACAAAAAAATTCCAAAACATTGAACCTTCAAAAATAATAACTGCGTATAAAACAAAAACCCGTTGAAAGTCAATGTACTATAGGTATAATTGTGTTCTATGAAAGTGATTACCAATTATTAATAATTACTTAAATTTCTAAATTGTGCTCGTAATAGCAACGATTAAATTTAGCTAAAAATATCGATTTTAAATGATATTAAAATAATGGATTCAAGGCGCATAACGTTGACCAAAAGCATAACGATTTTTTTAAAACTTTGTATCTACAGTATCGAAATATAAAATAACCAGTAATGGTGCAACAGACCTATGCTTCTGCCTCCGCAACCGCGGAAGTCCCGCACGCCTTTTCACATAAGTTTTCGTTTCTGCTTCCGCAACTTTTGTAACGGATCTTTTATCGGAATTTTATAACATTCGCAATGGATAACACACGTGAGTGCAGGCTAGGTGATAGGGCGCGTCAATTTTAGCAGGTTTAATCGAGTTCAAAAAAAGGAGGAGGCTCTCAATTCGACTGTATTTTTTTCGTATGTATGTTACGCGATAACTCTTTGTGAACCGAGTTTGATGAGTCTTTTTTGTTGGAAATAGGGTTAAATTTGAAGAAAATATTCCGCCTTTAAGGGTGGCAAACTAGGGGATGAATGCGGTTTCGCGCACTTTTCGGTAACCGATTACAATAAAACTTGGCGAATAGATGTAATTCCACGAGCTTTTGAGGTTGGTTTTTTTTATAAGTGCAATTCTGAAACCAAATACAAGTCCCGTTTGAATCTATTTCGTTGAGATCTTTATAGTATTTACACTTCCGTATATGCATCCGCTTCGGTTTTCGTTTCTGAAATTTAATTTTGACATCTGTATCCGTTTCCGTTATGACACTTCCTTTGCACCACTAATAACCAGGCAACTAGAACTCTGTGGAAATCTAACAAACACGCCTCGTTTTATCATAATATATAATTGTCCCCGAGCTAAGATCTCTGATATTTCACTGATGACCTCCGTGGTAGAGTGACTAGCACACCGGTTTTCATGATGTCGCCATCTCTAAGGTCCCGAGTTCGATCTTCGGCCTAACTTTTCAATATTGTCTCGCGTCTGGGTCTTTGTGGTTCCGTCGTTATTTCCGATTTCCATAACACAAGTTCTTTAGTTACTTACTTTGGGATCTTACGATGGGATCTAATGGAACTATACCTAATACGTACGTTTATTTTTTGAGAAATTACTCCTAGTTTGTTATAATTATTAATACAAAGATCGAACATTAAGAAAATTTTCTTCGTTGCCCTGAAGTGGCATACAGACACAGGGTCGACTGCTGTCAGATCGAAGGTATTTTTTTTTTAAATATATGTTACGGACGGTCGTGACGCGCCTGGCCGCCCGGCCAGTCAGAAAAAATAAGAATAGAATTACGTGAATAATTCAGGGGCGCTGATTGGCCAGATGGCGTCCGCGGCGCATTGATAGGGCCGGTACTTTGTGGGAGACGCCCGCGCCGTATCGGTACATATATAAGAGAATCTTGTTGCAATTATACATTCGTATTCCGATTCGATTTGTTATTCGATTTTTGTTATTCGACTTGTCAGTCAGATGGACATAGAGATAAAGTGTTCAAATAATTTCATAAAAATGTATACAGTCCATTTTCCTAACCTTCAATAAACAGGCAGAATTTACGTTTATACAGAGTTTTATTGAGGAAAAGGAGGATACCCAACAATATAAAACAATAATATAGCATATAGTATAATATAACGTGTAATATAGGAATTGCTCGGTTTTCCATAACACAAGTACCTTAGTTACTTACTTTGTGATCAGAGCAATGTAAGTAATGTAAAATATAAAGTAAATAATTGTTATGGACGAGATAGAGCACAGACCAAACTCTTACAAAACCTTATAAGAACTCGTACCTTTAGTGAACCAATGGCACACCAGAATGTACAAGCTTAGCCAAATATAGGACTTCATTGTCTGAAAGTTTTGGTAGGTACTTAATGGTTGATTGTTCATAGTGGATGCATGGCGTAACGCAGCTCCTAATGCCCTGAGAAGCCATTCGTAAGAAAAGGATGAAAAGAAACAAATGATAACCGTAGACTACAAAACATGAATGAAGAGCGCTACACGAACATTGTTCCATTCAAGCAACTTTGTTAAGTATTATTTAAAGAAACAACTATGTTACGTACATTACTAGGAAGCAGCTTCTAAAAATTGTGAGAAGAGTTAGACAAATATAATGTAGTCTTTGAAATAACTGTCTCTCGACAAGTTGATAGTTAACTTTGTTGGCTTTTTGGAGCAGAGTTTAAATTTAAGTTTTATTGTATTTTAATAATTTTGGGGAATTTATCAATCGATCACAATCCATTCAATAGAAATGAGCGGACACAACAATTTTGCTTAAAAGTTGTTTCAAATAGGTCGTTTCAGAGTCTCATATTCTACATTTTTCAGAATTTCATAGTCGTGCGCCTGGTGATAAGCGACACGCCAGTAAGTACATAACAATTGCAGTGCCACTCAGTGCTTTAAATCACAAAAATTTGAAGGGCACTGGCAATGTGCCCGTCATCCTGAGACATGAGTTAACAAGTGCCATGTGCTTGTAATTTCAACAACACCCTTACCCTTCAAAAGTGAAATGCAGTTAATGCTCATATTACTGCTTAGAGGCAGAAAGTTAGTAGTTATCGTGGCAGTACTTCCCTGGACGAACTCTTTCATATGCAGCTCTATTGCTACAAATTACGATAAATAATCCATTTTCGTCAAAACGTGAGTTGCGGCTACACACATTCCTGCCACAGAGGACGAACCATGCAAAATACATAAAAGTTTTTTGCTTAATGCAATGTAGTTTAAAAGTCTAAAAATACCCTTAACGTTGGAATGTGCGGTGATCACTTGTCATTACATGGACGTGGGGTAGTAATTATGAGTCATAAAAATCCAGTTTTTGTTTAACTTGAAATAGTAGAGTCGGTGTTCAAATATGTGGGAATTTTTTAACTATCAACGGGGAAAAATAACATGGTTCGTGATGACCACCACCGAAGTTAGCAGAAGCCGCATAATTTATTCTAGTAGATGGAATAGAAATAATGAATAAATACAAGACAGAGACACCCGAGTCACTGTATGCAGTAATCGGGTTGCAGTCTTACTGCCGCATACCAATCTTGGTGGTTATGCTGTATAATCTTTTTTATTATAGCCTTTTGTTCAACAACATCAGTAATAAACTTTAAACGATTAAGGACGTAAAGGGAAAACTT